GGGCTGGGGCAGCGGGGAGCCGGCTCTGTGCTGAGTTAGCTCTGCTCTGGCCAGCTGAGGTCTTCTGCTGCTTTCAGATGGGGTGGGAGTGTCATTAGGTGCAAGAAAAAAAACCCCAAAAAACCAACAACCCCCTAACAAACCCAACACCCAACAAAAAAACCCAGTCAACACTGAAAGCAGCTGAGAGGCATGCCCCCAATTCCCTCCCGCAAGTTGGGAGCCGGTGGGCTGGGGGAAGCCCACCAAGATAGCCAGGGAGAGGATAGAGAGGTGCCAAAAAAAAAAGGGAAGAAGAAAGAGGGAAAGACTTTAATTAGGGCTCAGGCGAGCTCGGTGCTGTTCGGGATCCCAGTTATTAGGGATGGAGCATCAGGCTGAGGATGCAGAGGGGTTTCTGCAGGTTGGGCGGTGGAAGCTTAATTGCAAATTAATCCATAGTGGATATTGGCAGAGTGGTTGTGTATTGGCTGGGGCTGAGGAGGTGTTTTGGCTGTCAATCTGTGATTATGTTGAGGGTCCTTGATGTAGTTTGACCTGAGGCCAAAGGAAGAGCCCCCCAGGCTCATGCACCCCCCCTCAGAGCTGGGCAGTGCTCATGGAGCAACCCCAGGATCCCCATATGCATCAGAAAGGGGAGCATGGACTTAAATTTAGTATCCATCAATCTTGGGGGGAGGTTGGAGGCTCCTGGAAAGCCTGCCAAGGTTTGCCTCGTCCATAGGGCAACATGGGGTGAGGGGGAATTGTCAGCCAAAGGAGGGACCTGCGGGACGGGTGAGAGCTTCTCTGGGGAGCCCCTTGAGCCACCATGGGCGTTCGGGTTGTCATTGTCACCATCCCTCTTCCTGCTGCTGGGACACAGGCCTGCTGCTGCCTGTGGGGTGGTGCTGGCAAGGGGGACAGGATCAGGCCCAGCCTGTGCCAGGGACGTAGCTCAGCCATGGCCTTGGACCCTTGCTTGGACAACCTGAGCTTGGAGAGGACAGGCAGGGTCTGGCATGGCTGGGTCTCTTAAGAGGTGGGTTTTTTTTTTTCTCCAGGGTGGGGGGGGCTTTCTCCAGCCCCTTTTGCCTCCACTTTCCCTAAGTGAACTATGTGCTCTCTTGTTTCCAGAAGGCAGGGAGTGTGTAAATTGTGGGGCTACCTCAACCCCTCTGTGGAGAAGAGACGGCACCGGGCACTATTTGTGTAACGCCTGTGGACTCTATCACAAAATGAATGGGCAGAACCGGCCCCTGATCAAACCCAAGAGAAGGCTGGTGAGTCTCCTTTTTTATTCTTTCTTTTTCTTCTTCTGCAACTTGTGCTTCTTGTCTGCACCTTAGGATGGACAGGGAAGCTCAGCCAGCTCCAAAATCTGGTCGCGCTGCAGCGGGGGGATGCTTGGAGAGATGCTCCCAGACACTGTGGGCCTCAGTTGTCTGGTCCTCTTGCAAACTGCAAAACTGGTTAAAAAAATCAAAATCTAGGGCTTCTTGCAAACCAGAACTGAGTTCTCTCCCAGGCTGCAGTGGGGCAGATTCTTCTACATAGCGCTTCTGGATGGTGACCTAAGGATGATGGCCCTTTCCAGGGGACAAGGGCAGAGTAATCAATTCCTAGTGATCAAAGACCACTATCAGGAGAACAGGATTTCTCCTGGGCTCTCCAGGCTGCTGTCTTCTCGTGTGTCTCTCCATCCCCTTTGGTTGGTGGTGTCATGGAGGGGGGACCCAAGCTGGGTACCAGTTGCCACGAGGACACTGGTTGTACCTTGGTCCTGCAAAGCTCTCGGCTGATGGTCCTGGTGCCACTTGAACCTGGTGTGGTCATTTGTTCCAGAGCCACGTGGGTCTCAAATTGTGTCATTCCTGCCCGATGGGCAGCTGCCACCACATCGGAGTGGTGAGGACACAAAGTAGGGGATGGCAAAGTAGGAGCAAGCCTGGTGAGTGTCCAAAGCCGAGCGTGTGCCCAGGGCCACAGAAGTTGGAGGAAGATGAAAAGCGCGGGTAAATATTTGAAATAATAGTTGCAAGCCTCATGACTGTACTATGTACAGGCAATACGCTACAGCATCCCCAGTGATCCATTTATGAATTTCCCTGGAAGCCACAAAAAGGTCTGGAAGCTGTGGGCATGGCTAATAAATGCGTTGAAGTATATTTGGCAAATAATCAGGCAAACCACAAGGGGGAAAAAAATATATCAAGCAGGGGGGAAAAAAAATGTTCCCTGCATGGGAAGTTATTGAATGTTTTGAATTGAGGCACGTTTGGTTTCGTTAGGATTAAAGATGTGGATGAGCTCCTGGGGGCCGCTCAAAATGCGGAGGAAAAGCAACTCTTGCCTCTCCGTGGATTTTCTGAGCTTACGGATGGATCCGGCTGGTTGCTTGAGGCTTGTGCCCGGCATGGCCGGATCCTGCAGGCAGAAGCGGGGTGGTTCATTGGCCTTGTGTTCCCCGTGGAGGTGCTCACAGCCTTGGTCCGGCAACTCTTAGGCACGGATTCAGCTTCCTCACCTGTGAGATGCCTGCAAAATTGGACCGGCGATATTCCCACAGGCGCCGGGAAGCTTTTGCAGGGTATGGCCCCACGAGGGGTTACGCTACGAGGGGCAGCGACGACAGCTCTGCTTGGCCCTGTGGGTTTTGGGGAAGATGCGGGTTTGCTCCTCTAGTCCCAAATTTCCCGTAGGCAAAGCACAGCCTGAGGCAGGATCTCTCCGTGCCTTCCTATACGGCTTTTCCTGTATAGGAAAATGTTGGTCTCCCTCATCTTTCATAGCCTTATTAGAAAAAAGGAAAAGCTTTCTAGGGAGGGAAGTACAGGCTGGGATTTTAATTTTTTTGGGCAGCTCTCTTGTTCTCTTCTCCTCCTCCCCCCGGCTCTTCTGTCTTAAACACACACACCTCTGGGTTTTTTTTTTTTTGGGTTTTTTTTTTTTTTTTTATCTTGGCATTTTGCCAACCTTTCCCTCCTCCCCCCGGCTCTTCGGTCTTAAACACACACACCTCTGGGTTTTTTTGTTTTTGGGTTTTTTTTTTTTTTTTTTCCTTGTTCTCTCTTTATGTGCAAAGTTAACTTCCTAGGAAAAAGCTGCCGGATATCTGAGCCCTGGAGATAACTCCTAAACAACAGCTCCGTTTCCCCAGCCCAAACACACAGGGGCTTGAGCGTATCCAAACAAGCGGAGGGGGAGGCAGAATAGAAAAGCGAAGGCGGCTGGAAAAGGGGGGGAGAGCTTTCAAAAAGTGTCTGATGGAACCACGAAAGAATGTCCCGAGTCACTCTCAGCCCGGCACATGTAAAATGAACTATATAAATAAATACATTGTAAAAGGTCATTCTTGGGGGAAAAAAAAAAAAAAAAGAAAGAGAAAGAAAAAAGTAAAGAGAGACCTTGTCTTGTATAATCACTTCAATCTTGGGCATTTTAGTTAAACTAAAAGTTTAGTTACAAAAAGTTCCCGTTCTTTGAATGCAGCCTTGGCTAAATGGAAACTTTTAATTTTTCTATATCTATTTTTTTTTTTTTCCCAGCACTGCCTGGGGGAAAAAAAAAAAGAGAAACATTTCTAATGCTGTTTACATCTATATTTATTTCCCTTACTAACCTCCCCCCCCCAAAAAAAAAAAAAAAAGAAATCAGAAGGCACCAAAGCTGGGCCCATGTTTGCGTTTCATGTGCATAGATGTAGATGTGTGTGTGTCTGTGGCTT